ATCATGATGTTAGATGGCTCTCACAGATTCCAGCGTCCGTGATCGTTGATCTGCTTCGTACATTCTGCACATCAACGATCACGGACGCTGGAATCTGTGAGAGCCATCTAACATCATGATGCAACTAACGATTCGGATGGTGCGAGTGTTTTTGTCTACCCAGTGCAATGAGACACTAGGAGGTGGCGCACATTATTCGAGATTCGTAAGAAGACTTATCGGCAGCCCGTAAACGTCGATTAGCCTCAAGTTCTGAGTTAAGTCTGATTGTCGATCGTTACGTTTGGCCCAGCATCAACGTCCGATATTGTGCAAAATCTTGTTTACATTGTCAACGAAATACGATTCACCGTCACACTGCTCCATCCCCATGCGAATTCCCCGTCCCAGGCACTGATTTTTCTCATGTTCACATTTACCTTATTGGCTCACTTCCCACATCAAAGAGTAAGACCTATGTGTTAACAAGTTTACACGTTGGCCGGTGACCATTGCCTTGGCAGACATTTCCACTGAGTCCGTCGCACAACATTTCCTGCCACACTGGATTTCCCATAACGGTGCTCCTCATACTCTACCCACTGACAGAGGCGCTCAATTCCAATCTGCGCTCTTTCGTGATTTCACGCATCTGCTTTGTTGCGAACACACTCGCAGCACTGCTTACCACCCCGCAGCAAACAGCTTAGTTCAACTTTTTCACCGACAACTCAGTCTCACTTTGGGCTCACGAAGATCCTCGTTAGACCGAACGTCTTCCACTCAACCTCCTGAGCATCTGCTCTGTCATCGGGGAAGACGTCGGATGAAGGACAGCAGATACGGTTTACGGAACTACCCTTAGTCTACCAGGTGCTTTGCTTCAAACTCCGCTATCAACCGCTGTTTATCCATCGACGTTTGCCGAACGAAGCAAGACCATATGGTGCACACAAAACCACTCCAAAAGGCCGATACAAGTAGACTGGAACAGTACCTGTTTATTTACACTCACGTTGCCACGTTTTCTTTTGTTGCGACGCTATACGTCGACTACTACAAGTACCATACACCAGACCATACAGAGTAATTTCTCGTTCCGATAATTTTTGATTGCAAGGGAAGATATAATTCGGTAAGCATCGATCGTTTAAAAAAAGCATATCCCGAATCATTAATCGATTTGTCCATCATGATCCACATCCGGTCAGTGGAACTGAGACATGAAAACATACCCTCATATGAAAATTCATTCGTTGTTTCCTTTTTCTGTACAAAATGATGCAATATAAAATTTGACGCATTCGCCGGTTGATTGGTCATCAAAAACAGGCTTGTTTGTTAAACTTTGTTTCTTTTTAATGTGTGCCGCTAGTATATTCTGGGAAATAAAATGTTTATCCATAACCATTTTACTAGCATATTGGTATAGTGTTGAAGTATAAAACAGGGTGAATATTCGTACAGAAACACGAAGCATTCAAATTTTCACGTTCATCTCAAACGACTGCGTTCTACATACATGAAAGTGCGGCTTGATAGGAGGCAATTTGCCGACTTTTCCTCCAATTCCCAGGATTTGTATTTTATGATCTAAAATGCAAATCCTTGGAATGAGAGAAAAAGTGAGAGAATGATTAAATTGTCCCCTAGCACGCCGCACTTTCCAGTTCGATGTTGGTGTTAGGCCCACCATTGATCCTAGTGTTTGCCAATGACACAACACGGGAAATCAGCAACAGGTACTTCATGTTCGCAGACGACATCAAGGTGGCAGAAGCGAATATATGCCAGGATTTGCAGGCTGTTGTAAGGTGGTCCGAAAAGAAGGGTCTTCCTCTGATCTTATTTAAATGCCAACATCTCACCGGAAGACTTGAACTTAGTAATCAGAATGATATTGATCTCAAGAGAGAAAAGTTCGGGACCTGAGAGTTATTGCATTGTTTGATTTCAAGCCCTAGCGGCAATCCCTGACATATGTCACAAGAAAGTCAACATAGCTCGTGCGGAACTGCATTGGCGACACTTCACAGTTATGTGTAGGAGACCCGAAGTTTCTTTCTCTCTATGTACGGCAATAGTTAGGCCATACTCGGAATATTGTATTTATGCATGGGCACCCTACTTTTAAAAAGACATTAATGGTCTTGTAAGAAATTCAATGTCTTTTAATTAAAAGGGTGCAACGTCTGGCTACAAGGATGATAGTCGAACAGGGAAGCAAGAGTTATGAACAGGCTCAAGGAACCTAATCTGTCCTCGCTGGTAAGGAGAATCAGGGGTCTCATAGAAGTTTTCAAGGTTATGAAAGACATCTAAGGGATCTGGCTTGGTGACATGGTCCATTTCCTCTCTCCAAATGCCAATAGGGGGTATAGATTGATGCTACTGCATGGTTTTATAAGGCTGAACAAACGAGTCAAGTTCTTTATTAGTCGCAAGATTCGATACTACATGGGGAGTCTGCAATTTTCTCAAATTTCTTAAGCTATACGACGACCGTATATGACTTTTGGGCTTGTGCATTCTTTGACGCAGATTAATGGTTTCTATTCGTCATTAGCGCTATCGCTCTCAGATTCACATATATATATATATAAATATATATATATATATATATATATATATATATATATATATATATATATGA